GGTATTAACTGTTGTGTCTCTTATTATTTTTTCAAGTATGATGTTGAATAATATGCATGATAGAGCGTCTCCCTGGCGTAGTCCCTTCTTCACATCTATTGTTTCCGTTAATTCGTTTTGTATCCGGATTTTACTTTCTACTTTTAGTGTTTCTTTTATCAATTCTATTAGCTGTGTTGGTATATTAAATTCTTTCATTGCTTTTGTTAGGAATTCTCGGTTTATATTGTCATATGCGCTTTCGAAGTCTATGAAGAGATGATGTGTGTCGATGTTATATTCACTTGTTTTTTCAAGGATCTGTCGCAGAACAAATATCTGGTCTATTGTTGACTTCTGTCTACAGAAGCCACATTGGTATTTGCCAACTATTTTTTCAGCGTATGGTCTAAGTCTTTCATACATTACGTTGGACATTATTTTATATTTTTTTTTACTTATTTTAAAAAAAGTGCAATTGACCACATTTTATCAATTATTTAAAACAATGTATTGTCAATTCTTAATTACAATAATAAGATTATTGTAAATGATCTATTTCTATCCTTAAAATATCGTTAAAAAGATTTTTCTTCAAAAATTCTTTAAACAATTGACATAAATAATTTAATATTAAACTTATTAACGAAAGGAAAAAATGTCAAAGTGCATAAATAAGAACTGAAGCTAGATCTTATAGTAGAGATCTTAAAGTTTTCCTCCAACACTCCAACTTGATCGAATTTCAGCTCCACATTTTGAAGCTTTTTAGACGACTCTGTTTAAGGGCAAAATTTTTAAAACTTCCCTGTACAAAAAATTATGAAACATTTCAAAAATCAAAATAAGTAACAAATTATAGTCAGGTTTGACATTTTGTATACCTAACGGCCACTCCTTCGTTCGGTACACTAATGGACTCTTCCACTATGACTATAAATATGAAAAATTTTTACTAATAACTCTTTTTATAGTCGAACTGATAATTGCAAAAATTCAGCATTGTATTTATATTAAATTATATTTATGTGAAATTATAAAAAAATAAATAAATATCATTTATAATAAATTTAATTATTATAGAAACTATATAAGATGTTTAAAAATAACAAGTTATATTAAAAACAGTGGAATAGCAGACGGTACTGTAGAGCAGTGTATCGCTTCATACTATGTTTTCTGTATTTTTTGAAATTTAAATAATATATTTAAAATTAAATAAAGTAATTGTATTACTATTATTTTTTATATTTTAAACAAATTCAATAAATTATTATGTTTGCTCCTAACGCCACCTGTTAACGTATTAACAAAGCATACGTTGTTTACTTATGACGATCCTGTCCAATTCAGAACAAATATTAATAATAAAATTGTGACGGGTAGCTCTTTCGAAGCGACAGACTCAGTAAAACACAGGATGAAATAAAAATAAATCTATTAATTCTAACGTATGTACAAAAGTAAAAATAAAATATATTCTATATCCCCGCCTGGATCCCGCGAGATTCAGTTCCCCGGCGGACGTATGTAAAAGAAAAATTATTATTACTAACAGAAAATGAAATACGCAAATTCGATCGCACGCAGACTTATACTAGCTTCCACCTCAGTCCAGCGGAAGCGCCAAACGCTCTCGCAATCAAAATATCGGATTGTGCAGATCCACGTTATACTCTGAGTCAGAGTTGACGGTAACGTTCAATCCGCTATACCCACGGGTTCTGCTTGAATAAGAAAAGAGCATAATCCTGTCTGCAAAGTCTCTCCGTCCGGATTGGCTCGCAGATTCAATGTACTAGCGAGCCAGAGAGCCTAGAGCGTTAGCCACAAGACCCCTTTAATTCCCCCAGACGCTCGCTTTAAATAGCCGCTCCTCGTCGTCTTGTCGTGGAAATGGATGCGTGGCTATCGACACTCCCACGGTTCGAACTGTTGATCGCTGTTGATGTAGGACGTTCAGCACATCGTTACAAAATATAAATAAATATCATATACTATAATAGTATTTTTACGCCTTTGATCGAACATAGTTGATCGACGGATCTCTCACCAGTACACAGGTCTCTGGTGGGTACAGTAAATTTAGGACTGTAAAAGAGGAACAATATGTAGACAAATTTATTCAGTTTGTTAATGTGATGAAAGACATTGCACACAAGAAAACGTAGACCATAAGGTTCTGGAATTGTGATGAAATGAGACACGTATAAAATTCATACAAGCAGTCTAGGTACAACCGAAGTCAAGTAACTTGCCAGGAGGAAAACTATAACGGGACTTTTCCAAAGAGTAATCAAAGTTGGTAATGAGGTGCAAGCTCTCTTTAAAAAAGATACGGTTGTGCCTGCGGGAAGTCAAACAATCATATTACGCGGCTGAAGGGAATTGTGGAAGAAGAAATACCTGTTATTATAGAGCCCTGGAACCATGAAGAGGAGGTTGGCCAAGAAATTAAAATTGGAAAAGAATTGGTTACTTCTGCTAAATACATACCTGTAATATTAATTAATGTCAATGATTACCGAGTGATCATCAAAAAAGAGACAAAAATAGGAACCTGTATACCAGTGACGTCCATAATTCGCCAGACGACATTCGATAATTCCAATGGCAAATTTGACCAAATGATTACAGTTCCTGGCCGGTCTTTAAATCAAGCGGAAAATATATATCTTTTTTTGCGGTATTGCGATATTTTTGTACCGAAAGGAGAAAAGACAGAAAGATCTACCGTTGTCAAATATAAAATTAATACTGATAATGCCAAGCCAATTCATCAAACAGTTCGACGATTGCCAGATAAGAGAGAGGAAGCTGAAAGGATTGTTCGGGAAATAAAGAATGACGAAATAATAGAACCTTCTACCAGCCCATGGGTCTCTCCGTCAGTACTGGTCAAGACAAAAGACAAAACTACGAGGTTCTGTGTGGACTTCTTTTTATTTAACAATGTTAACAAAAAAGATAGTTCTCCTCTAGCTCGGATCGATGACATTGGCAGGATGTCAGGATTGTCTGGATATTGGCAGGTAGAAATGGACCCAGTAGATAAGGAGAAGATAGCCATCGCCACCGTATCTGGATTGTGACAATTCAACGTTATACCGTTAGGACTCTGTAATGCTCCTGCGACATATGAAAGCCTTATGAAAAGCTTAAACGACATGATTATCTTGGGGAAGACTTTTGAAAACATGTGAAGAATTTGTAAGATGTTTTTAATCAACTTAAAGCAGCCCAATTGATGTTTAACTTTAAGAAGTGTCAGCTATTCCAAAGTAAAGTCATTTAGCCGTGTCATATATTCAGCAAAAAAATAGTGGCCGTGAATAAGGGAAAAGTTCATTCCATTATGTAGTAGCCAAAACCAACTAACAAACATTAAGTGAGAGTTTCTCTTGGACTATATACGTACCATCGGAGTGTTTTTCTAGCTGGGACAAAAACGCTCCTTAATAGACCCATTGGTCAGAGAAGAGGAAGACCCACAACAAGGTGCCTTGATAAGGTGATGGATAGGGACGACTGGAGAGAAATTCTTGAGGAGGCGAGGACCCACGCAGTGTTGTAAAGCCAGAATGATAATGATGATATACTTACTATAGGAGATTCGTTAACAAGTCAGCAGATATGTCTAAGCCACTAACATTACTTACAAAGGAAAAAAGAAATTATTACCCAGTCCCCATTCATACTGGAATGGGACTATTTTATCATGGAAAAAGGCTTGCTTGAACGAGTACTGAAAAATGATGATGGTTTCGAGAAGAGAACACACTTGGTGGTTCCAAAGAGCAAAATAGCCCAAATACTTCGTAAGTTATATGATAGTCCATCAGAACAGCATTTCGGTGTAAAGAAAACCCTTCAGATAATTCGGGAACAGTTTTACTGCATGGATAGTTCCGAGTTAGAGTTAGATGTAAATGACTGGTGTAAGTACATATGCCATGAGTAACGGACCTTACCTTAAAAAAAGCCATGAGACAATAAAATGTTGAAAGTCCAAGATTGGTCCAAAAGAATAGCTTTTGGACATTGCTGGGCCATTTTGAGAAAGTGAAACTGGTTGCCAGTATATGTTAATCGCGATGGATTACTTCACGAAGTGGACCGAGGTCTACGCAATTCCTTGCCAAAAGACTGCTACTATTACCGGTGTATTGATCAGCCGATTTGGAGCTTTGAAAATCCTTAGTGACCAAGAAAGGAACTTCGAGAGCGATTTATTTCAGATGGACTAGACATAAAGAAAACAAGAACTAGAGCCTATTACCCGCAGTTGGATGTAATGGTAGAATGAATGAATAGACGTTGGCTAGTATTTGGAAAAAATGGTGTCCAATCACCAGCGCGAGTGGGACCAATACCTATTGCAATAGCCTACAAATCCACTTAACATCATCTTCACTTTGAGAGAGAAGGGTTGCGCCGTCTGCATCGCAGATTATGTTAAGTTGTTTTTCTTCCTTTTGGTATCCTTTTTTAGTTCTTAGTTCTTACTTCTTTTATTATTTTATGAATAAGCAGAACAACCAATAGAACTGCTAATCATTTAATAATTAATCCACGGTATCTAGAATTTATATTTTGCGTATAGTTTGGTAGCGATGTTGGTAGCTCAAAAGTAAGTGTATCTTCTTTTTATGCCGAATGGTGTGAATTAAAATCGAAGTGCAAAATTAAAAAGTATTGTACAATTCTTCTACGCTTAGTATTTTGAATTCGACGTTAAACTGTAGGTCCCTCTTATATTACACTTACGATACACAACACGTGTTTAAAATTGTATATTAATACATTAACGGGAACATAGTTCTTGTAAATTAATTGTAAAACAATTTAATTTTTTTACTTTCTTTTTATGGTTCTCTAGCATTAAATTCACTAACAATATTCGCAGTTTACATCACGACAGACGGAGTTACAGATTGACTAATAAAACTAGAGCTTTTAATTTGAGTAATTTATCATCCTTACCACTAATGCCAGTATTAATTTATAATTACTTATTTTAGATATTAGAAAATGAAGTGTATTTAAAAGAAGCGCCTCTAATTATCATGGATGGAAATTTAACATTAGAAACAATGAACGAAATATTAAGGATAGCTGTAGAAAGCAATATACCTGGTAAGTTTTAACGTTATATTTCATATATTGATATTCTTTTTCTTCTCTTCTTATGGTGCCTAGAAATGGTAGATAAACGGAGAGCATAATATAATTTGTGGGTTGTATTAATTGGCACCTAAGAACATAAAGGTTGTTTTATGGTTTATGTACTTCTTATTAATTTGCAAACTCTTATAAATTCGATACTAGAATTAAATATCTAATGAATACATGCTTGACCCCTAAAAAGTACATCTTGGATTTAATTAACTTTTATTGATGTAACCTAAAAAAATTTTTTTGGATGGTACTAGAAAGGACACTAATGGAGACACTGCGGACGGCTGCCAGGTGGTTGGCGGAGAGCGAGTCGTGGGTTCGAAACTAGCTTTTGGTATCGGGAATGGGTACAACGAACGAAATATGTAAAGATAGAACAGGATAAGATATATTACAAAAGATAAATAAAAAAACAAAAAGATAGATAGGTAAAATCACCAAAGATAAGATAGAAACAGGGTGCCACTCCATTTTTTGGGGTTTAAAGAGAAAATTAAGAAACCTTAGAAAAGAAAAGAGATAAGGAAAGATATTTAGGCTCAGAGATTAAACCCAAGAATAGATATTAACAGTAAGTAATTAAATAAATTTGGTCAACACCCTACATAAACAAATAATAAACATATTAGGTGCAAATAAAACAAATAAACAAAGCAAATATTCAGAGTTATTGTTATATCAGGAAACTTGTAAGGAGTCGACAAATAAAATTCATACATAAAACAAAAACAATATATTCAACAACACAATGATATAGGCGGCTGAATGTACACAAAAGTAATAAAAAATGTACCATCAATTGATCAATGGTTGTATACATATAGAAATGAACAGTATTATAATTAGAAAATACCTTTACAAATACAATATAATGAAATCATACACAGTTTAAGTTATCAGCAAAGAGAGTCTGATGCTATTTAAAAATATTCCACTTAATTGAGTTTGATTAGAGAACTCTTTGCTATTTAATGGGCATATCTCGAGATACTGGGTACAGTAAATAAAAAAATTAATAACAAATAACACAAAGTTAATTAAAGTTAAATCCAAAGAACACGACACGATTACAGAAATAAAAGTTTAACCAACCCGCACTTGGTCGCAGTTAATTTTTTGTTTCGCACTATTATTTAATGATAAACTGAGACTTAAATGTTCATAATTTAAAAGTTCTTGTAACCTGATTGAAAGTTCATATGTAATTATTAATTGTTCCTTGAATTCAATAGTTAAATCGGTAGTTAATCTTAATTACAGGTGTAGAAATGGATGAACTTAGATTCGTCCAGATAATTGAAGATGATATGATACCATACCATATTATTCGCCCAGATAATTGAAGATACTATGATTATAATAGTAATCGCCCACATAATTGAAGATACTATGATTATGATAATTTACAGTAATTCTCGATGGCTGCTACACTAATTCATTGAAGCTAATATACTTTACTTGTATTAAGCACTGAAGTTATTTAAATTAAAAGATACTTTATAACTATATTTATTCTAATATAGTTTACGACATAAAATTGGAATTAAAAGTTCGTTTACTAAAATGCTACGTATTTTCCGTTCTTTTATATGGCGTGGAGTCATGGACCTTAACTGAAGCATCACTGAAGAGACTCGAAGCATTTGAGATGTGGTGCTATAGACGCATGTTGAGGATTTCCTGGATAGACAGAATTACCAACGAAGAAGTACTACACAGAATGGGTAAAGACCGCGAAGTTGTCGTAACCATAAAACGTCGCAAACTAGAATACCTGGGCAATATAATGCGCAATGAACAACGATATGACCTACTTCGGACCATACCTTAAGGTAAAGTGCATGGGAAAAGAGGTCCAGGACGGAGAAGAATATCCTGGCTGCATATCCTGCGAAAATGGTTTAACTTAACCACTACCGGACTTTTCAGGGCAGCAGTCAACAAAGTCAGAATAGCCATGTAAGTGTCCAACATCCGTAACGGATAGGCACCATAAGAAGAAGAAGAACTATTAGATTTAGAAACTCAAACTAGATACACACTAAAAAACTGCACAGAGACGGTAAGGTAACACGATAATATGAGTGAAACGTCTGTCCTCAAAGATCGCCCCACGAGAAGTGATCTTCTTTCTGCAAAAATTTACCAAACTACCCAAAAAAAAAGGTGAGGGTACCTCCCACTTAAAAATGATAGGACAGTATCCATTTCTACGAAGGTAAAGTTCTAACGACTATCGGAAGGTTCGAGGTAATTCGTTACTAGTAATTTGGAACGTGAGGAAATTAAAATTTTTTGGATTAGATTCTTACAACAAAATTACTATAACGTGTCTTCGGCGATATTTACCAAATTTATCCAAAAGAACCCGCCTTCACCGAAAATCATTAGTTCCTTTCATACTCAGGATTAAAAAGGAAAGGATTAATTCCATATTATTTCGGTAGTTTCCCAATAAAACGTAACAACCCGTGAATACGACCATCGGCGTATCTACAACCGGGGTAAATTACCGGGATTGTATTGATTACAGTTGTTAGTATTCTACATAAATGATAGAAAACACATTGCTTATAAGGAATTAATTTATATTTTGAAAACATCAAGTCATTGCTGAATACATTTTTAAGATCAATTTGTTATATTTACAGTAATTTGACAGTTAGTACAATTATTGAACATTGGAGGAACACTGTTAGAACTATGAGAAACATTTTGGACAACATGCAGGGTGGAAGTGTCATTTTGTTGAATATTTTGTACTGTGAAAATTTTATTTGCCACCTCAACCTTATTGTTAAGCGATTCTTCGATATATCCTTCAGCAACGTTTGATGACTTCCATCCGCCATGCCTCTTTAAACTAGTTATGTCGGCACCAGAGTCAACCAATATTGTTGCAGAAGACCGACGAAAGCAGTGACCAGTATATTCTGTCGGATTTACCAAGTTCAAATAAGTAGCAATTATTTTGGGCATTTTTCTAAATTTATGAATTCCTACCACTTGTCTACAACCCTTTACGCTTTGATATTTAAAGAAAAATCGGTGACTGTTCATATTTTCTGGTCTTAACGAAACATACTTTCGATAAACATTCAAGTAGATCTGATTAATTACAAATGATCTTGGTTTGTTGGTTTTCGAATCAGGTATGCTGATTAAAAGCTTAGATTCTAAGTCTTCTATATCGTGTACAGTCATTCGGACTAACTCATCCATTCTACAGGCCCCAGAAATACCAAATATTACAGCCACCTAAAAAATAAATAAAGCTATAATCTAAATAGAAATTAAAACCTTGTAAATTACCTTAATCATTAAATTTTCTTTATCTGGAGCTTCCTGGATAAATTTTTCAATTTCTTCCTTCGTTAAAATCTTAGATTTCTTTGCCCTATAACCTTGAGCTTGCCGTTTCAATAAAGAACGAAGTTTTGAGTATGTAGATATATCTACATTGTGTTTAAGTGCAAGGGTTGACTTCAGCATTGAATAATTGGCCCATAATGTTGAAGATTTCATCTTTAAACAAAGGTCTAGGAAGTATGCCATTACAACATTTTCTGAGAAAGAACTCGTATTTTTACTCATGCGATAATCCATGAGACGTCTGTATGCATTTTCGTACTTTTCTCTTGATTTCTTTGGCAATAATTCTAATGAAGCAGTATTCACTGCCTCAACCAGCTCTGGAGAAGTCCCAGGAATGGAAATTTCATCATCACTTATCATTTTACTTTCGAGAACACCAGCAATTAAATTTATAAGCGTCAAGTTTGACAACTCAACCTCAATACGTTTCCATAGTAACCCAAGTAATTTTATTAGGAATTTCAAAGCACCATTTATTTGGGAATAAAATTATCGCGTTTTTTTTTAATCAATCAATATCTGTCGAATTTTAAACGATTTGCGGAAAAATAGTGTTTACCTCGTAGGAAAAACCACATTCCTGGACTCTGTGTTGCTAAGTCTCGGCTTGCGCCTCGACTTAGCAATCTTCACAGTCGTCCAGGAATGTTAAGCTTTTCCTGCCCGGTAAACAATGTACTATTTCCTAAATAAACAAAATTGTACTAACATTATAGCATCACCTAATTTAAAATATTCCGAAACTAAAATCTTGCTTCGTTCGGATTTTGTGTGAGATATATATATATATATATATATATATATATATATATATATATATATATATAATATATATATATATATATATATATATACAGCATTGTTTGTACTCAGTGTGAAGCTGAGTATATTGGTGAGACTGGAAGAAATCTCTCAAATCGCATTATTTCTCACAAGAGTGATTGTAGAATTAAGAAACCATCTTGTGCTTTGGCAGAGCATGTAATAGACAAAGACCATATTATGGATTTTGATAATATTAAAATTTTATGTAATGAAAGTAATAAATTTAAAAGAACTTTTTTGGAAATGGTTTGTATTAGCCAAAAGTGATAATAATTTAAACAAAAGGTCAGAAATTCAAAATTTAAGCAAAATTTATAATTATATAATTTCTATTTAATTTATGCAGTCAGTAAAATATCACATTTTGAATTTTCCATGTATTTGTTACATTTTTTCGGGCATCTATCAATGGTGAATAAATCTTCTTCTTTTTTGTTACTAAACAAAGAAGAATTTTTTAAACAAAATTTTATTTTTGACAATATGTCAAAAATAAAAATTTTTGAGTTAGTATTTATGACATTTTAGGCTGGTTGTAGCTATTCTATTTTTGTTTATAAATTCAATTTTTTTTTTCTTAAGAAACTTCATCTAAATTTTTCAGAGAAACATTTATTAGAATAAGACATTTTTTTATTAATATTTTTTGTATTTATTATGTAAGCAGTAGTTTTATATAAAAAACTAATTTTATTTGGTGAGTTAACAAAAAATTTTTTATTTCTAGTTCAACTTTGTAAGACATTTTGTATT